CTCTCATCCATTGCATTACAGATGTTCTTGGTAGCGTCACTTGTATTCCTGCGGGGCTGCTTTAGGTTCAGAATTTCTTGAAGTAAAGAGTTTTGAGTTCGAACCCTCATGTGGTGTCGAGCAAAAATCTGATATCTACTAATATCTACCAAAATTGGTGCATCCAGTTGATTTTTCTGTAATTTTCAATTGTAAAACTGTAATTTTCATCCCAAGTAACCATATTTTGAATCACACTAATGAGGATGGAGAAGAGTATCAGCCAATTTCGGTTGCAAAACTCTGCTGTGATTCACTTGCGGTGCATTCACGCAACATCGAACCAAATTTCGAAAGCCGATGCTGCGTAAAGTATCCCATTCATAAGCGACGCTCAGGATTAAAGCGGGCAGAGCTTGCAGATATTTAAACACGTCCAGAAAACCTATGGGACCGCTATTCGCATTGCTTTTGTACTCTCTCGTTATCAAAAACTGCCACGCATATACGCTAGCAAACGCAGTGCCACTCCCGCTATACTCTTCATTCTCATAAGTCAACTGTTCAGCATTCAGCAATCGCAATTATAATCGTGTAACGCTAATTCCGATTGAATTTGCGGTTTGTAAGACAGGGCAATTGCATGGGATCGAGGCAAACCTTCGCGAACATGGTTAAGAAAATTCAAAAAAAACAACAAGGAAAACATGTCAAGCGTCAATTTGCCGTAGTTAACATTCACAGAAAAAAGCACGATGAAGCAACATGAAACAATATGGAGAATCTATGTCAAAGCTGACAAAAAGGCAGCCCGGGCGCGTGCTTACAATGTTTCCATGAAGGCTTGTGATTTTTGATGGTTAACAGGATAAAAGGGAGTTGACAGATGTTTCTAAGGCTTGTTTGCGCAAAAAGTAGGTCATAACACGCGTTGTAACAAGAAAGTCTCAGCAGCTCCTCTTATGCTGAGGTAAAACTAACGAGATACTGCTTTTCACAAGCAAAGTCCACGCGTATATTTTGATTCATCAAGAATGATGGAAGCTCGCGCGGTTTGGCTCTCGCGCTTGGGCTCTGCACCTTTTTCGCAAGCGTGCTCTTTGATCATTTTCCCACATTTAACGTGGGAAATGCCGAGCTTTAATGGCTGATTGAGCGCGGGAAATGAGCGTTGGACCAGACTGTGCGGCAACGCGAATGAAAATATGTTGCGTACGCTGAGCAGTCTGGCCCAGCTCAGAGAAGGGGAAGCTGCGTACGTCGCGTACGCTGTATACGCTCGCATTCTGGTGATCCTTACATATATGAGGTTCTTGAGAATCCAGCATGATTGCGAACCGTGGAGAGATGCCGCCATTAGACGCGCTGAACGTCGATTTCGAATCTGCTTTCCGTTTCCGCGGAACAACTCTCACAAAGGAACGATCCCAACTTGAGGTGGCGAATTGGAATGAACCGCTTATCACTAGAGCGTCTTGATGAGCTGATTTTAATTCTACCTTCCATATCTGCGATGCCGTTATCTGGAAAAAGTTATGAAAGGTTGAAAATGTGAAGTCATTAGGGTTTAAATGCATAATATGCTTCAAAATCCAACTTGGAAGTGCCCGACTAGCATGATATTGAGTGTACTAATTTCAAGAAATGAACACTTAAAAAAAACACAATTAAATGTTTTGGACAACTAAAAACAACTAAAGTTCTTTGGAAAAAGCTATGAGCAATGAAAAGTTCCAATTTGGCAAATATACAGCGCCATACCTCGAAAATTAGTTGTCCAAAAACACCTATTTGTGTTTCTTTAGAATGTGAGCATTCCTTGAAATCAGCATACTCAATATCATGCTAGTCATACACTTCCAAATTGGATTTTGAAGCACCTTATGCATTGGAACCTCGATGACTTCACATTTTGAGTCGTTCATAACTTTTGCAGAGAACGGCATCGCAGATATGAAAGGTAGATTTGGAATCAGCTCATCAAGACGCATCTTAAGATATGCGGTTTATTCCAATTCGCCAACTTAAGTTGGGATCGTTCTCTTGTCGGGAAGAAGTTACAAGCATTTGAAAGTTCAAGTTTGTCAAGCTTCAAGAGCATGATTGTTGAAAAACTGTACAAAAACACCTGGAAGTGGGAAATTGATTTATCAAGTATATTGACAAAAAGAAGTGAATACAGTCAGCTGAAATCCGCATATTTGTTTTTGTGTACTCGGTCTCCAATTTTATGCCAATTGAGGCTTGAGAAATTTGAATATTCAAACGCTCATAAATTTTTTGGGAGAGTGTTGTTCCGCAGAAATAGAAAGCGGATTTGAAATCAGCGCACATTGAAATATATATCTTCCGTTTGCCTCACCGTGTTGGTGTTTCCCTATTAGAAAAAAATGACTCCTTATGGCTGCAATTTTACAGTACGTACCACTTTTTTATGGTTCAAAAGATTTACAGAGAGAAGCCTATCGAATAAAGCAAATATGCACACTGATGGCAACGTTGTAAATGCAGTACTTTAAAATTACTGTTATTATCTTTTCGCATGACCCTGATGAACATTGGAAGCTCTCTTCATAATTCTGGAAACTTCAGAAAAAGGTTGGAAGAGAGAAACTGTTGTTACAAATGAGTTGACCTCCTTTCAAGCTATTTGTGGATAATATGCGACAAAGAATCCGTTTAGCGTGACCATCATGAGAACTTACCGCGCACACAGCTCAACGTCGTTATTGGTTTTGCTGGTCTCGGGAGACGCATCTAGTGAGGCTCTGAGGAACAAACGCTTTGACGTCGTTATCGAGCCGTCCACATACAGTATGTTTCAGGTCAGTTTAGGCGGAAATTGGAATGGCGGAAGTCCGCTTCGCAAGGATTTGCGCCGTTTGCAATCTGCGTCTCTTCATTCTAATCTGTCTTGCTGAGCCATTGACTTTGCGGAGAGTTATTACACTTGGAATGTTTCGCCTACTCCGAGTTGAAAAAGACTGTACAGGCATGTTTCTTGTCTGTCTAAAGCGTTTGAAGAGACTAACCACTAATGGCTTCGAGTATTCAGGTCACTTTGAAAAGGCGTTGCGCTCGCCTAAACCTTGGTCATACCATCAGATAGCAATGGTACTACGGCCCAACTACTTTACCAAACTTCATGTAAAAACGGTACTTTTCGGTTATCCAGACCTATCTTTTCAAAAAAGGATACGCTTTTTTCTCATATTTGATCCTAACTTCACAGGGAGGAATGTCAACCCCCTGCCACGTCTCAAAAAAATTTGACGTGACATGCACGTGTTGACACGTTTACTTAAAAGTTTGAGTTGCCTTACCTAACGACATGGGTTCAACCTGTTTTTAGTCATTAGCGGCCCCATTTTCAATTGAAAAGTAACAAAAATAAACATTATTATTATGTCATTCTTTCGTTAGTAAACAGACCAGATTTGCCCGGAATAGAAACATGGGCTAGATCCCATCATCTTAATGACAAAACAACAGTAGCGAGGAATTTCAAGGCATCATACATAAGCCCGTAATAAACCTCCATTCATCTCAGGTGACTTGAGATTAGTCGTTCAGAAGAACTTCCTAGGGTGAACCTAATCTCGCCCATCTTCCCGTGCATTAGGATAGTCAGTTCAACAGTCGAAAGACTGTCTGGTCAAGTTGAATTTTCGGGTGACAGGAGAGAGATAGTGTGAAAAATAGGAGGATTAGACAAATTTGTCGTAAGTTGCTCGCGAGTAAAATTCAGTCGACATATTGTTGCGGTGCGGAATCCCCAAAACTGCACAATCTCGGAGGCCTAAATGGGAAAGAATCAGTGAACAGCTGATTGCGGCGAGGAAAGCAAGAAAATAGGTTTTTTTCTTTTTTGGATTGGTTGCAGGTTTCTTTTCGAAAGCTGCTCAGAACAAAATTTCTTCATTTCTTTTATTCCATGTATGTCCCAAAAAATTCAGATTTTCATGGAATCTTCGTCAAAATTGTTAGTTTTGTTCTATCTGTCCATTTGCCAGGCAATATCCAGATGACAGAGGTCATCATCGATTTTTTGAGATATTGGCCGCTATCATAGATTGCCCAGCGATGGCTCAAGTTTGCCGCTGGGCGGCCTCGAACCATGGCATCGCGCGTTGAGTCCTAAGCACTCAACTGCTCGACCAAACCTGCTCAAGTGGGTTCGTTTTTTAGAACGCCCAAGACTTTCATGTCCAAAAAGCGATCCGCATCCATCAATCGCTCGATGGAACTGCGCTAGGGCGCTCTACGTTCAACGTAGGCAGCCCCGAACCGAGTTGCGCTGGGAGGGGGTTCACTACGGGCCATAGTCTCGTGTGGCTAAATTCGCAAGGCGAAAAGCTTGAAGAGAAAGACAATGCTGAATCACTGCTAAAAACGATGAAGATGTTCTAATATAAATTCTAGATTGTTTTGTTCTTTTAAAAAGCAATCAAACAGCTTTTAAGTGATCACAAATGCTCGTTTACCTCACCGTTAATGATTTCGAAAAAAAAAACATTTTAGAATTGACCAAAACGTGTCAATATTTCCCTGACACATGGCAGAGAGGCAGTCCTCATGAAATCTATTAAGAATTGTCCATGACTAAAAACTTCATGAGAACCTTTTGAAACAATGGGTCCGGATAAAACGGAAATGTACTAAAAAACTAAAGTTTTTAGACAATCGAGCATCACCGATAGGCCACAGACGCACAATACGTAGCGAAACGAAACAACTCGAAAGGGCTTTTAGGCCAGGCAAAGCTATAAAAGTTCAACAATTGAACATTTAAGAACCAGCTTTTTATTGACATCAATGACATTTTTACATATTGCAAATTTCTCGTCATAACAGGACAAGTACATTTTTAAAAAGGCTTTTCGACCATGTCTCAGAGTCATCAAAGGTCTCATATCTAATATGACCAATCTCAAATTATCCTTGAGATGTAAGTGAGCCTTCATCCTGAGCTGGATATGCAGAATATGAAAACCGTGTTTGACAGCTTTAGTATTTACATTCAGAATACATGTTTAAGTGCTTAAAGCTTTGCACACCATATAGTGATATCAATATCTTCTAGCCGTAGAAGGGGTGGTCTGGCATTGCCACACATTGAGATGTAAGTCCATTGTGAGTGAGATTCTGGTAGGGTCCACAACAGTACACGCTGGCGCCGTTATCACTTGGATGTTTCTGAAAACCAGAACAATACATGATAATAACCACCAATAAATTGTTAGTAGCCAGTGTATTATGGGTGAGACCACATAGTTGTTAAGAATGTATTTGATAACCAAGGGTTAGTGACGACCAACTCAAAATCGAAGCAGTTACAATCCGAAAGCATGACTGAGTTAGCTTAAAAGAACTAAAAAGAAACTGAAAAGTAAAAAAAATCTAATATTGTACTATCAAATAACCGCTAATTGATTTTTCGTAAGTGCATGACGTAAGCGCGAACCAAGGAGCCAAGCTAGATAATCACTTACACTTGTCAAATTTCCAAAATCAATATAATTGTCGACCTACAAATATGCAAATATGAAGAGAGATTTACAATAAGGTTGCAAAAAGAATAGCAAGGTAAAGTGGAACTATCCAAATTAAAAAATCTTTTTCTAATGGATGAATACGAACATCAAAATAAAAGATCCGAAAAACAGGATTGATACCTTGTTCACGAATGGGCTGACGTAACAGGGTAACAAGAAATTCGTTGATGTCAGCTCTACAATAGCTGAGAATGTAGCCGCAAAACCTCCCACCAAACCAAATCCTGCAAAAGTGCCTTTCGAACTCGCATTCGCTAACTCCACTTACTTTTTTGAGGCTCAAAGTAAATCATAACCTACCCATGATCGCAATGCAGATGATGAGGGTTCTTCTTGAGTTGTATCGGAATACTCTGAACAAGCAATAATTACAATCTATAGTAAGTCAAAAAACTTGTGTTATGTGCTAGCATCTTTAGAGGAAGGGAGAAACAGATACGTCGCAAGTAATGCCAGTGGTTCGTTTTTCATGCAAACAGTTGATCTAATTTTTAAATTTTACATCAACTCAGCCATTCACTCTTTTCAATTTTTAGGTTTGAAAGCCTGCAAAAAATTTGCCAAGCCATGACCTCAAAAAAAATCGTTGTTGACCCCCTCCATCTTCTCAATAAAATTTCTCGGACACATACTGGCTTAGACATTCTAGAATAGTGGATAGTGCGACTTACTCATTCAGCGTAGCAGGAGTATCATCCTTCTTCCCCAGATCCTTTTCCCTTTCTTGACGAGCATTTAGATAAAGATAGAACAAACATGGTAATATGACAGAGGTCAACGTAAGTGTAGATCCGCCTACAATTTTTTGAGTCGATAATACCAAAGGCTATGCCCACGCCAAACTGACCGAAGAGATCTAGTAAAGGTCCGAAGTTTGGAATACTTTCTGCCACGAACACGACTGCCACCATAATGCCCGTGCGAATTACAACCCGCTGCCAGCCAAAATCTGAAAAGAAGTTTTTTTAATGTATAATTTTTTTGGGTCTCAACGTACGATGAGGACAGTTGAAGAGATCTTCTATCTCCTGATTAAGAGGATTGAAGACAATTGTTAACGTCAGGAGACAGTGAAGAGTGATCAATATATTGACTGCTTGCTGGATCCATGTGGTCTAAAACGATTTATAATAGATTGAAGATGCATGGTTGGTACTTTCTGTTTCACTGGAGTTGGCGGCTGAAGGGCGGGGCTTTGGTCGACTAGAAAGCACGTAAGTCCCGTCCCGAAGCCCCGCCCTCCAACCGCCAACTCCGGTGAAACAGAGGGTATGCTGTTGGTTCACCTGTATAGACGGAATAATGGAATCTCTGATAGCATCGTGATAGGTTAAATAACCCATAATGCAGACAGGAGCATACATAACACCCATAACTACAATCACATTCAAAATCAAAAGTATTTGATTCACTCGAAGAAAAATACTGAAAGTACAGTGTGCACTTACTTGTAAATGCCAAAATAACAGATTTTGTAAACTCTGATGGGTTCTTCATGTCATGTTGGATAGTTGGAAAAGCTGGATGACCGCCATAAGCAAAAAGTAGAGTTCCTAGTGCAAGGAAGAAGTTCTTCGTCTTGTACTCAGGCATTCCCCTATAACCATAGTCGTCAAAATTTTGGGCGGCATCCGTATGCAAATTCCAAAAAATGTGATACTCACGTGTAACCAGAGCAGAGACCGTAATCAAGCGATGCTCCGATGAGGATTAATACTACAGCACATGAAGTGGTGATCATAGCGATCACGACAGCCCACCTGTAATAAATAGAAATAGCTAGTTCGGCATATTTTCTTACAATTCTGGTTTGATATCTGTCCCCTTCCTATTTTCACTGCAGTTCATGTACCCATAGCATTCGTTCACATCATTTAAGCTTCATTTGTGTGAAAAGTAATTGCCACCCAATGACTACAACATAGAGTGATTCAAGATCAACTGTATATTCGACACTCCACTAAGTCTTTACTCTATTATTTTCGAGTGATTACTTCATACTAGTCTAATTCCCTATCTTCTTCTAAACTATTTGGTGATTGGACTTGAGCTAACTTACTGGATGTTTTTTGTTTTATTCTTTATTTGTTCCTGGTTATGTTCTCGTATTTTGTTCTGGTTATGGCACGCTTTGTGCGTACCCTTTTTTCAGGTGTATAAGCCGCACCCTTTTTGCTCTAAACGCGAGCAGACCCAGGCGTGCCGCCGCGCATATGTCTCGAGAAGCGGTCGCCTTATCGCATGCTGCTCTCACTTAACGCGCTCCATGATGACAGTCAGTCTTTTGGCGTATTCGCCTTTAGAGCGAAAAGGGTGCGGCTTATACACCTGAAAATAGGGTAATACATAAACATAAACATATTCAAAACCATTCTGTCCTCCCCCCCCCCCCCCTCCCAATAAACAACAATTTCTTGCCTGAACTTTTGCTGAAATCGGAAGGAAAAAAAGCAGAAATTCAAGAAAGCGAAAGAAGACTGCGATCATATTCGTTGAACATTGACACAATGGAAGGAAAATAGAAGAAAAGAAAACAGGATAGCAGAATTCTTGCTAACTTTTTTAAAATTATTTGGATATCGAGGCTTGCACAATAGTGTCCACATGGTGCCAATTCTCGTGGCAGATATGCCTTCAGAAATCATATGACTCTGCATTTCTGTCTCCCAGATCCATCAAACATTTTTTTGAGTTAACCCTGATTGGATTATAACCTTTTTTTTGCTTGTAGGCAGCTGAAGCGAATGAATTGTCAGTGAGGGTGAGGAAGAAATGGAATGCCATGAAGAGAGTGTGAGATGCTAGAGACCACCCTCTGGGAGAATAAGTCACTGAACGATATTGACAAGCTAATCAATTTCTTCAAAGACGTACCCCATTCTCTCCAAAAACTACTCCTTCATTCTTCATGTGATGTTTTGTTCATTTGCTTCCTCTCTTATTTAATTGCGCTTTTGTCTTCTCACACATATTACTCAATTATTTACCATTTTAGGTAGTTCATAAACACACCAGAAATCCTGAGGTGATTTCAAAAATGTCAGCGGCAGCAAACATACAGCCAAGATCAATACCACAAAACAGTAGCTGAACTCAGTATCGGAAAAAGTCTGAAACAACCTTCAAAAAGTTTTTTGAAGTCTTTTTTTTCCAAGTTGATACGCTAACCAATCGTAGATTGCGTTTACCTTGATCATATCATGTATATTCTTTGCTGATAACAACAGATAGACGACCGCAATACCGAATTGTGTGATATCAATGCATATAGATACGATTTTCCTGAAAGGAATAAGTTTTATGGTGGATAAGATATCCAGTCTAAAATCTGAAATTAACCTGACTACATCTCCCATAGCTCTTTTAGCGATTTCTGGATATGGTTTCCGGCAATGTTCCCGATATTCTGGCCATGTATTCAAAAGGATATTCCAGCTAAGACCGAGCACATAAGCAGTGTATGTAACGGCGGCAATCATTATGACGGAAATGCCCAAACCAGGATAAAATTCTGAAATACTAGGTTGATTTAACAGAAAATGTATTTTTTGGCAGAGATGTTCCAAAGTTTCTTCCTTTTCTTGTTATTGTTGAACAACTTTTCCAATCTCCTTGTGTGTTTTTGGTGTTCTTGGGCCATTTTTTGTAGATTCCTTCTGTTTCATTTTACAGCTCTTATCGGTACTTGTTTGCAAACTTCTATCAGCTACTGATAATGACGCGTTTTTGCGTACAAAGCGTAATTTTACGATTGCTTCGACAAAATGCAGCACATACAAGCGGAACTTAAATTATGACATGATAGCGTTCAAATAAGCAAAAACGGGATCCAGAAAGTCCTGAACCGTGAATCAATATAAATTTGTCTTACTTTGAATAATATTTTTTCCTTTAAGCGAAATCAAACCTGATTGGATCATAGCTGTTGGCAATGCCACCAATCCACCACCAGCCAAGTCACCGACCAAAAACAGTCCTGTGACAAACCAACTAAGTCCACGAGGGTTCATATAAGGCTTCGCCATGTCCGCAAATGAATTTCGTGCAGAATACGATGCAGAAGGTAAAGAGCCATCTTTTGTTCTGCAATAATCTTATGAGTGCAAGGTCAAAGAGTTTGTGAGTCAGAATAAATTAGTTTCTCAACTAAGATAAGCTACTTTGAAGTGGCCTTTAATGCAGAGCTGGGTATAGAAGCAATTTCTGTTGCATGATTTTTGACGGAATATACAATACTTTTTCGAAATGCATGCATTCTACCAGCTCTCAATGTTTCTGGGCTCATGGCAAAAATATTTTTCATTGGAAAATCTTAAGAAAAATATAATCTTTTGAAAGTCGAAGAATGGTCAACAGCACTACCATGGACAAATTGAGTATGTAGGAAGGCGTAATATAAAAGTTTGCTTTAACAACAGAAATACCTGTCTTAATTGTAAGTAGTCTAGTCAATAATTTTAAATTAATTCTTGATTTCTTATAAAAAATACAAAAAAATCATCCGTTAATGATTCGCGAATCATTATAATTGGTCGTGTCGAGATTTGTGAGAACTTCTTTTGCATGGGGTCAATGTCATAGTGGGTTGATACGAGAATTGTAAAAAAGGCTGAGAATAAAGAAGATGTTGCGAACAAACAGAAAATTTAGAGTGACACTAAACGGACCTCAATATTCGGATGTAGTCACACCTCCGGTGGTTAGAGCGCTAAAACACCAGACTTTCCTCGCTCTGATTATTGTTTCACCCATGAAACGACAAATTTTTGCTCGTATTATGTATACTCGGCTTGGTTCTACGGAACGTCAAATCTCACATTTTCTTTTTTCAACTAAACTTCAAAAAGCTGCATACAATGCATAGCTTAAATTGCATTCTTAGATAACATTCGCCGCAGCTTTCTTCCTGCTCGACAGCTATTACGTCGTTGTTTGTAAAAAATTCCACCTTCAGATAAAGGACAGTTAGCATTAGTGGTTCGGAGCGAAACCTAGACAAACTCCTCCATGATTTTTCCATTTTTTTCTCCAAAAGTGGTTTTTTGCCCCAATGATCAGTAATTGCGCTCGAAGCTTCAAAGGAGATAATGCTCGTATGCGAAAAAACTTAGCAGCTCTGTTTTATAAAGTTGATAATAGTCAATATAGTCCAACTTATGCAAGACTATTGCAAAAATAAATGCCCTCAAAGACTGTTTCTTAGGAAGAACCGCCAGATCTCAAAGGGGCTCACTTATGCGAAAGTTGAGGTGTCTGCAAATAACTACACTGCGTAACAAACAAAACTGAACGATGAAATTAGGTTAAGAAAAGTCGGTAAAATAGCCTTTTAGTTTTTTGGAAGCTGGCTGACGAAATTGGCAAGGAAATATGCATAGCTGCTAAAGTACGAAAATGTTGTGATGTGAGAGCGTCTTTTGCCGTTTTTGACCAGGCATTTGTAGAGAAAATCGGGTTCCATGGAAGAAATTGATTTTTTCCGCTTATTCATTGTAAAAAAATACTTAAAGAATATACCTAATATAGAATATGAATATGTATTTTGCACTACACGCTGCACTTTGCACGTACGCTACATAAAACGATGCAAACAACAAATCAGAACAACTTGCTTTCATCGAATGTTTTCGCAATCCGTGGTAGTAATTGTTAGAAGGTAGATTTTCATGGTTGAGCGATGGATACTGTTTAGACTCACATTTTTAGTCCATTCTCCGGAATCGATCCATTGACTCGCACACTCCAAGACATGGTAAATCTTCAAATATAGATCTCCAAAGCCAAATGTGCTAGTTCAGTAGCTGGTGGCCGTCACGTGCTTGCGCCAACAACGAGGCGAAAAAGCTTGTTATCAACAGAAAAATTGAATCTCTCGCCTTATCGTTAGCACAGGCTGTAAGCGCAAGGATTAGTGGTTGGTCTGGAAAATATTAGGCAATTGTTTGGCATCAAATGAAACAGTGAAGAAGTGCAACAATAAGGTGGCATGAGAGTCAGAACTTCGGCGAAGAAAAATGCTATTGAATCCATGAATTACATAGGAAATCCAAAAAATAAGGTAATGTCAAAATATAGTTAAAATTAGAGTTGTCGGCCGGGTCAGTGCTCCGATTTGTTCTATAAAAATTGTCCAAAACCCGTGTACTTTTTGTGAGTGAACGTACGGCACCAAATCTGCAAATATAACGATGGCAACGCTACATAAAACGATTAGGGTTTGCCCTTTGGGTAGGATAAAAGAATTTGGGCACAGGTAACGGTCACATGGTACAGAACTACAAGTAGATCGGGTAAAAGGGGATTTTTAAATATTTTCAATCGGTAATGACATTTACGATGAGATTTTGTCAAATTAAACAAAGTCGAGATAGTAATTAAAGGGAAAGGTCAATCCTCGAAAAGGATAGATGGGATTTTTGGGAATTAGAGATTCTATTATTAGACATTTGGACAAATGACCTTTTGTCCAGTTTGGTGAGAGCAACAATTGGGAAAAGTCCAGCATGTATAAAAATTTTAGGGAAGGATTGAAAAAAACAGTGAAAAATCTAAAATAAGTATCAGGAAAATCTGCCTCAAAAAGGATACAAAGATTTTTTGAAAATCAAGGTTTTTTCTAATACTCACAAATGGCCTTTAGGATATATTTCAAACTGAATGAAGATAGCAAATCACTAAGGACAGATTATTCAGATAATAAAAAGGAGGCAAAAATTAGAGAAATTTTTCAAGAATATTCATTGCGCAAAAATTTGCTACTTATTGCGGAAGCAACCTATGTACACCTGTCACAGTTCAAATTGAAAAAAAAATCAAGTAGGGTTTCCTAAATTATGTTTGTTCTCAACTTCGTTTGTTCGCATTAGATTCTTGAAGGATGAAACGAAGAGGATTTTTGAAAAAACAAGGAAAATTTTCTGATAAGATGCATCAAAAATTGCTGCACATAAGAATTAGTGCATTGCAAAAGCGGCTTATATACAATCGTCACAGCAAAAATCAAAAAGTTACCGCAATCCAGAACTGTTTGACTTCAACTTTTGTTTATTCTGAAAATGTGACAAAATATTTGCACTTGGTCGCTGCTGCAAATAATAAATTGGACTATCTGACAGGTGTGACAAACACGTGGGCGTTTTACGCACTCATTTGATAAACCGGTCCCCCTCGCTTCGTAAAATTTCGGATAATCTTCGATAATCACCACAATCGGTTGTACTCGCGCTGTTGTTCTTTGAATTAATAGAGACGATAGATAAACAAACACGTTTAGGTTTAGGAACAGATAGGAAGCGCTAAGGGGCGGGAATAGGAGGGGAAAAGAGAAACAAGAATGAGAGATGAACCGGTATGACGAACTGAAATGACGTGGACGAAAAGAATGATTAGAGATTTGTGAAGATAACTACCAATGACGTTTGAACCAGATCAAAGAAGGAAGTAGGCTAAGATCTCGTATACGAGGCTGTTTGCAAAGCGCTGCAAAAATTTTTTCATGGAAGAATTTAATGATTTTTATAATGAATTAGGAAAGAAAAGTCGAAAAGGAAGTGATCTTGTTGATTATATACTTCTGGATCCTCAACAGAAATTTTTTGGCGAAATTTTACTTCGCTATATCACCACTAGCTCTCGAGATAAGTACAATGTTTAAAATCTTATTGATAATTCTTCAAGTAAAATCATTGCAAGAAATACATTTCCATCCACCGTATTTGTTTTTTCTTCATTTCAACATAATTCGGTTTATTTCGAAAAACCTCCAGACTCATTGATCTACTTCTATAACTGTTACGACAATGATATATAGTATTTTACTGCCCAAGAATGGAGTCTATGCAATCTTCGCGATCCCGTATTCAGTTCTGCAGGAATGCAGATTAATTCTGCGAATACGTGCCACCAAATTTCCAGTTTATTTTGCAGGAGAAGTTGTTTACATTTCCAGAAGTGCTTAATAAAAATTTGTTACACATCCCGTAAGCGTTCATTCAACCTGAATCCCAATCCCAATCGAGCTTTTAGGGTACTTGTACACCAGTATCATAATCATGGTAGTCCTACAATAGTACCGTTAGTTTTGTTAACTCCCATATATCTTCTTAACACTAGTTTGCTTTGTAATAGCTGAAGAGGTTTTTTTGTGTAACTCGACTTATTTGGTTTGAAGCACTTTAGCTTTGCTAAAATTGTTCCTCTTTGAGCTAGTTTTTGAAAATTTTATGAGGAACCACCTGGTAATGGTATAGTCGATGAAATTAACAACTCAGATTAGAGAAATGAAAGCAAGCACGGGCTTCTCTCATGCGTCGAATACAAAATGCGTTAGATTGGAAAGAAAAAAATGTCGTTTTTTTCAGCAAAGCAATAAGACAGATCCAGAAACATATGAGGGGTACCATTCGTAGAGCAATGGAAGCTCTACACGCTGACCTTTCATTGCCAGAAATCGTGATTTACTCAAAGTTTGGAGCAAAAACAAAAGAGCAACTCCTTATGCTAAGAATGAACATTGGCCTCAAAAATCTAACAGTAAGATCCTCTCACTGCTTCGCCCTGTAACTGACACGTGTAATTATTCATAGGTTAGTGCTATAATTTATTCATGCTTAGAAATCAAGAAAAATTGAAAAACGGAGGATGGCAAACTCCGCCCCCAGTGGTCCTGAGCTCCCTCGTATATGTCGTTGTTATACTATTAGGTCATTCGGAAAGTTTTTTCGTTTTTGCACTAAATTCAAACGAGCACAACTTTTTTCAGATCCAACCTTTTCCCACCAAATAAACTTCATTGTGTCAATTTTCTGCTATTACTTATTTAGTGCTAATGAGCCCTCCTTTCGAACTAACCTCAAAAAAATTAATGAAACCTAAAAAGGCGTTTTTGACTAGCTAATAATTATTAGGTCCTGTTATTTTTCAGTAGGCACAGAGAAGTAGAAAATTTGGTGATTGGTAAAGAAAGGTCTGAAGAGTTCGAAAATAAACGGGAACCTCGGTGTGAGATCAAACCCTTTCGTGAGAGCCACTTTTCTTAAGTGTGGTTTTGCGTTGTTATGGGCGAAGATGGTACGCCTCATAGGTTATACGTGCAAGTCTACTCAGTTTTCAAATTCTGACAAACGTCTTCGAAGGATATCACACTACTCTGCTCTTACAGTACAATCACATCTTAGCAAGTTTATAGTGTGCAAGACCAGCAGGATTACATTAAATTTGAGGTCATCAGCCTCTTGGAATGACTGATTGTTTATGGCCATGCTTTTGATGCTTGTTCCAAGTGATTTACCACAATGTCGCTTCCTGTCGCCGCACTTGGTCAATTTTTTGCTGTACGTATCAACCCAAACCAAAAAAGGATTGCTGCATCAAATTATGAGCAACGAAAACAGGGTCATCGCGTCCTCAATCTGCGAGTTCGACAATTTGTGGAGTATAGGTCGCTGAGATTTTTCGGTATTGCAGCTTTGGCAAAGGTGGCTTCTAATGGAGCTATATGGGACTTCAAGGCCTGCTGATAATTTTTTGCAGCTTTATTTTATTTATTTATTTATTCAATACGCATAAAGCGTGCCATAATTGGAACAAAGGGCAAAATACGTAGAGCATGAACAGTAAAAAATAACAAAACATCCCCAAAAGCTCAAGTCCAGCTCCGTGAGTAAAAGGAGTTTAAGGGAGGTTTATTAGCGATTTGTTCTGAAGGACCCTCTGAGATGCTCATTCAAATGGCAGGAACAAGTTTCAGAACACTGCAAAACATCAGCTTTCACTTCTCTAGATCTGAACTTTTTGAAGCAGTCTTGCACCAGTCTCAAAAAAGACAGTCCTTGACAAATGCATTGCGCAAAATGATGGCTCCCTCAACTGCCTTATACTCAAGTTTGAGCTTAGAGAATGCAATTATTCGAAAATCGCGTTTTCATATGTCGAATTCAAAGCCGCGTAAACTTCCCTACAAAGCGCTTTCTGCGATTTCGGTGGGATTCGCAGAGACTAGAAGACTTCCTTTACAGATCCATATATAGCAACCCTTATCAGCTCTCTGTCACTTTCTTAAAATATGGTGCCAACATCAAAGGCGCAAAAAGCGAAAAAACTTCCCGAGTGACCATATAAATCTTTGAGATTCAAACAAAAATCATGGCCTTATATACGCCTTAGTTCTTGAAAATATTAATTTTAGCAGAAAACCCGAAAAAAGCGACATTCTTTTCTTCCCAACCTAACATTATAGCCCGAGAATTTCAAAAATAATGCTTCAAAACTTTCGTTCTCTGGGCTTTGAAAAATTTTTTGCATGCAGCATTTGTTATATGCCTAAGCAAATAAGATGACAGCGCTTTGGTCTCCAGTGAGATGAATCCCTGTGGTGCTGGTACAAAAATAGAGACTGTTGCAAGACTTAATATTCAGCACTTATGTGTTTTTTTTGCAAAAGATACGAATAGCAGCAAACCCTTCTTAACCCTACTGTTAAGAATTGTTATTGTATTAAAAAAGAACTGCTATTATATTACAAAAAAAACCAGGCATGCGGACTGAATGTCGATGCACAATTAAGAAGTCAGTGAGCACTTTTTGTCGAAAGAACACCGCCAAATCTAACATTACCAAAGCAGAAGCAGAAATAAGACATTCTTCGAACTTATACTAATACTATTCCTTTACACAGTTAGATCTCTAGGAATGTAGAACAATTTTACGATGAATGATGTTTACTCTGAGCCTCCCCGGTAAGATATTCTATTCGGCATACTCCATATCGACAAGCAAATCGCTTAAGATGATTATTTTTGAGATGGAAATATAAGACAACATAGTTCCACCAGTCTTTCAAGTGGTAAACTGCACCAAAATCCTGCATGCTTTTAGTCGATCACAACTATTGATAATTGTAGTTTGTTATTAGGCGTTTTGGT